GGTCCGGGAGTCCGCCGCTCCGCCGGTTTCCCGCCTCTCGGTTAGCGGCGGGATTGGGCCGGGGCGGCGGCGGCGTCCTCGCCTGCCTGGGCGCTCGCGAGGTGTAATAGCAACGCACCGGCCCCGGAGACCGGCCGGCCACCGGGAAACTGTAGCTTCAGCGGATCACGATAAACGGGAGCTCCCAGGACGACTGAGTTCAATCCTAAGCCCCCAGCAGATGCCAGGAGGGCGCCTCCGCTCTTCCTCCGGCAGAAGCGGTGGGGGCTCCGTGGGCCCCTCGCCCTTCCGGTTCCCGCTCCCGCGAGGAAGACGGAGCCGCAGGATGATACACGGTTGGGAGGGGAAGGCCGCGACCCCCCTCCCGCTCCGGAACCGCGCGCTCGGCCGGGGAGTCCGGTTCCCTCTACCCGCCTGCAGGGGAGTCTCACTTACCTATTGCTAAGCTGTATTTAAATATGCTCTCGGGAAAACAAAACAAAAATAACCTGTATTTTAAGTCATTCGCTGAAAGATACGCTGGTTACTTTCCTGTCTTATCTCTCCCAGGTGTTTTCCTTGGGAGCCTTATCTCTGATTGTGGCCCGAAAAGGACTTTCCATTGTGGGGAGGGGAAAACAAAGAAGATGGACTCGCCCTGAGCCTTGGTTTTCTCGGGTGTGAAACGGGGGTGCCATAGCGAGGGGAGAAGGGGGCTGGGAGCTCCAGGGCTGAGCAGGCCCCGTGCTGGCCTCGCCTGGGAGGGGGTCCTGGCAAGCCCTGTGTCTCTCCCGCTGACTTTCCTTCCATCCTCTAAGTGTCTTTCTCGCCTGGCTCCCTTAGGTTTGCCTCACTTGCTCCTCTCCGCCGTGTAAGCTTTTCTCTCTTAATGTTTCTTCTGCCAAAGCAAAGTCAGATGGTCCTGGATGCGGACCCCAGCCCCACGGCTGCTCACTGCTCCAGTGTCTTCCCGCAGCCGGTGTGGCTCCGTGGTCGACCTGTGACCCAGGAGGTCAGGGCTGGATTCCCAGGCAGGGCACATGCCCGGGTTTCGGGCTCAGTCCCTAGGGTGGGGTAGGCAGCCAATCATTAATTCTCTCTCCTCGTTGATGTTTCTATCTGTCTGTCCCTCTCCCTTCCACTCTGAAATCAGTAAAAATATATTTTAAAAAATAAAGTGTCTTGCCGAAACCGGTTTGGCTCAGTGGATAGAGCGTCGGCCTGCGGACTGAAAGGTCCCGGGTTCGATTCCGGTCAAGGGCATGTACCTGGGTTGCGGGCACCTCCCCAGTAGGAGATGTGCAGGAGGCGGCTGGTCGATGTTTCTCTCTCATCGATGTTTCTAACTCTCTATCTCTCTCCCTTCCTCTCTGTAAAAAATCAATAAAATATATTTAAAAAAAAAAAAAAAAAAAAAAAAAAAAAAAAAAAAAATAAAGTGTCTTGAAAAGAATCCCTTAACCCATCTCAGAATTAATTTCCGCCTCCCTTCCACTCTCAAAAAAAAAAAATCAATGGGAAAAATATCCGTGGGTGAGGATTTACAAAACAACAACAAAAATGCTCTTTTAATATATTTTTTTAACCTTTATTGTTGATAGAAAATGCTGCCTCTTTTTAAATATCCCTTTCACACCTCAGTATGCCATCCGTTCCCACCATTTTCCCTGTTTTTGTTGGTGTGTGTAATGCTAGCCAGTCTAGCATGCGTCTTTCAATGGGACACTCCTAATTGCTGTATTCATGAGTACATGTTGAACCGCCTCTGGCTATCCACACACGCTTCCCATCTTCTGCTGACTGCAGCTAAATGAAGTATCCATTTAAATTCTGGAATATTTTAATGTTGCTTTGATTTTCTTTGACCACCAACCATTCTTGTCTGAACCCTAGAAAACCTGATGCTTTAAGAAAGACCGGTCAGAATTTCTTGGTAGGGACAGGGAATGGAGCTATGTATTGTAGTGAATATCTCTTGATCTTTCTTGGGGGAACTACCTTTCTCACAAGTAGACCCTGTTATTGGTTCCAGTGTGGTTGGGCCCTACAACCCACTTTTTCATGGGGAGGGGAATGGCCACCACTGGTTAATTAAGTCATTCCAGTTCATAGCCCCCCACCCTCACCCCCATTAGAAATGATGAATAATCCGATCAGTGACTAATTCCAGCATTGCTGCCAGGCCAGCCAGAGAGAGGCGTGCTCACTTCCTCTGGGGTCCTGAGCCGGGGCAGCCATCCCTTTCTCCGCCATCTCCGCACCCCCGGCCCCCCCCTCTTCCCCACTGGAAGAAGCAGCCTGCGATAGACCCAACCTAAAGGCAGAGCTAGCTGAGAGATGGCAATGAGGAGCCCTGGGCCTCTTGTTGTAGAAGCCCTGGGCCCAGTTCCGCTTTTGGAATTCCCAGTTATTTGAACATGCAAGCTCTCTACCTCTTCCCCCAACTTGCCTAAGCCACTTTGACTTTATTTCCCCACCCCCGGCACTTGCGCACAGAAAGATTCCAAACACAGGAATTACTCTGACACACTCCTCACTACCTCAGGTTGAGAACCGTGGCATTAAGTAATCTTCCAATTCTAAAAAATTCATCCGTTACCAATAAGCTAAATACTTTTTTTTTTAATTTAAGGAAAAAAAGTTACTGATGGCCAGGCATGAATACCTATGTATAAGAATTAATACTTTAAATACTGTAGTTGACTTCAAGGAAAATCTAATAAGAGCTTAGCCAGCCGTGGGCAAACTACGGCCCTCGGGCCTGATCCGGCCCGTTTGAAATGAATAAAACTAAAAAAAAAAAAAAAGACCGTACCCTTTTATGTAATGATGTTTACTTGGAATTTATGTTAGTTCACACAAACACTCCATCCATGCTTTTGTTCCGGCCCTCCGGTCCAGTTTAAGAACCCATTGTGGCCCTCGAGTCAAAAAGTTTGCCCACCCCTGGCTTAGACCATAACAATAGTTCATTCGCTGCTTGGCTCAATGTCCTGGAAACAGATAGCACAGTCAATACAGGGTTATTTATAGAGGTATGGCAGGGTTAAGGAAACCCACAAGTGAAGGCAGGACTCCCAGAGGCAGCTCTTAGGCCCACGAGGGCAAGAATGAACAGGGTTACCAGAACCAGGCAAGCGCTGTAGCAATGAAGAGAGGCCACTGTGGCCTTAGCTAGCGGCACTGCAGCCCCCCAGATGGGGGCTTTTGCTTTGTTTTCTTGAAGGGATCATGGTCAGAGTTGGAAGAACTGGACTACATTCTAAAAAAATATATGTTTTTCTTGATTTCAGGGAGAGGGAGAGAGAGAGAGAAACATCAAGGCCTGGGGGATTGAGCCAAAAACCTGGCCCTGACCGGCAATCAAACCGGTAAACTCTTGGTGCATAGGAAATGCCCAACCGAGTGAGCCTCACCGGCCAGGCAGTCCCATCCTTTAATGGTACCTTCTGTAGCCCAAAGCCATCTGGAGGCCTGAGGGCAAGACACCTGGGTGATGCAACCCTAGAAGTCAGCTTCCCAGGGCACAGAGCAGAGAAGATGGGGGAGAGATAATCAAGGGCTATGCTGTCTCATACAGCAACCATTAGGCATGTGTCACTATTTCGGTCCGAACTGAGATGTGCTGCAAATGTAACATATATGCTGGATTTCAAACAGTATACAAAGAAAAAAATGTTACAATATCTCATAAATTTTTATATTCATTACATGTAGAGAGGATAACATTTTTTATATATTGGGTTAAAAACTATATTATTAAAATTAACTTCATCTATGTCTTTCTATTTTTTTACCTGTGGCTATTAGAACACTTAAAATTATATGTGTGGCTTGCATTATATTTCTATTGGGCAGTGTTGATCTACCAGGACAAATGGGAAATAACCGCATACAATTACAACAAATAATCATTTAAAATCTAATTTTAGCCCTGGCTGCTGTGGCTCCAAAGAGTCTCAGATTTGGTTTGATTCCTGGTCAGGGCACATGCCCAGGTTGCAGGTTCAATGCTAGGTTGGGGTGTGTGCGGGAGGCAACCAATCAATGTTTCTCATTTCTCTCTCTCTCTCTCTCCCTTTCTCTCCCTCTCCCACCCCCCTACTCTAAGATCAATTTAAAAAATACTCATTTTAGTCATATTG